TGTCGAGCAGGGCAATAATCCCGAAATGGTACGCGATGCACTGAAGAGCACGGCATGGCATGGCATGGCGTAGAAGAGCACCGCAAAGCGTAGTATCAACCTAGCATTGCATTGCATGCCGTGGCATGGCACGGGAAATGACGCCAGCGCTGCAGCGGAAGCACGAGTTGGAACGAGCGGAAGCGCGGAAATGAGGCCAGCGCTGCAGCGGGAGCACGATTCGGAACGAGCGGGAGCACGGAAATGAGGCCAGCGCTGCAGCGGGAGCACGATTCGGAATGAGCGGGGCCCGAAAATGAGGCCGGCGCCTCAGCGAGAGCAGCATGTTGGAAAAAATGCAAGCGAAAACCCAACTCCGGGGAATCTGGTGTGTAAAAAAACAGTACGCGGGGGGGGGGGCTGATACTTTCAAACCGTCATCAGGGGAAGAGGGAGAGTAGTATTCATATTGAGTAATTGTGGAGTGTGGAAATATTGAGGGCACTTTGGGCCAGGGACACCTCCTGCAGCACCCAGGGCGAGAGTCGAGGGCGGGCCCCATAGGTCGACATCGACCTCTGCGCCCTGGAGCAGCAGGCGCCCCGCGCGCCCGCGCCCCCCGTCCTCCTCCTCCTCCTCCTCCTCCTCCTCCTCCTCCTCCTTCATAGCTGCCATCTGGGCCCAAGAGATTGTCAGGGCAGCGCCCCAACCCAGCCATTCCACAGCATGTGGAGGACGACCGACGGGGCGGAGGCCCGCACGGCAGCGACGGCGTGGGAGGCGGAGGAGACGGGCTCGGCCGGCCGCGACGGCGCAGGCGCGGGACCTGCTCCCGGCTGTCCGAGGATGAGAGTGCCCGCCCCGCCTGGGCCGTGGCACCCAGCGAGGGGGGGGCCGAGAGGACCGAGGGCCCATGTCTCACGCAAGTCGAGACGTCGGCTGTCCAGGATGATCGTGTCCTCCTCGACCCCGCGGCGCCTGATGAGCTGCTCGATGGCCCGGACGGCGCAGGAACCGGTGGCCAAGATTGGGTCCACCAGCAAGACTTGCCGCTGGGGCAGCTTCTCGTACGCGACTCCGGACCAGAGACAGCGGTTGCACGTAGCTCGTGCGGCTCTGCTTGGCTGGAGGTCTCACGGCGCGGATGACCGCGGCACGTACAACGCCCCACAGGACACCGACATCAAAGAGGAGCTGATCGAGGCGATCAGGATCGTCGACCACGGCGGGAAGGGCTTCATTATCTCGGGCAAGAAGCTCACGGGAGAGGACACTGACGAGATGAATCGCGTGGCGGACACGGACGGAGACGACCAGATCGACCACGAGGAGACCGTGCAGATGATGAGAGCGCTGGAGGCACGGCCATCGGGCTCGAGGCTCACACCCTCCGAGAGCGAGGATGACGAGGACCTCTACTCCGAGGAGGATTCCGAGAACGGCACAGAGGTGGCATACTCGAAGTGCGTCTCGGACGAGTTCGCGTACCCGAGCGGCCTCCTAGACTACGACACGCGCAACCCCTTGCAGGAGGAACGGCCCCAGGAGATGTACGAGGACCAGCAGAGCGGAGAGGAACCGCTGTGCGACCACACGCTGGAGACGGTCGACACGTCGAAGCAGAACCCAGAGACCATGTGCGCAGGACTCGTGTAGGATCTCGTGGAGGCGCGGCTTCGAGAGGGCCACACAGCCTCTCGGGAGTGGCTCGGGCGCACCCTGTCGGAGCTGGTTGGCGAAGCAATTTCGTGGTGGGCCTCAGTACAGGTATTTGAGCTCGACCATAATGGCACTGTCCTTGCCATGCATACTAGCCTGAGCTCCGAGGAAGACACTGACGACGATGACGATGTAGAGAGTGAAGCCAGCCAGAGTGAAGACAGTCAGGTATCATGTTTTTTAGGGGTTCAGGCCACCTGCCGTTCACTTACCTGTACCTGGCTCGTCGGATGCCGTTCGGGGCCCGACGCGGCAAGCATAGGTAGGAGGAGGACAGGCGGCGTGAGCTCCCGCCGCGGGCAGCAGAGCGGGTAGGCTCCCGTGAGGGCGGGTGCTACCCTGCCCGCAGGCCCTTGCGTGGGGTGGACGGTGCAGGCAGGGCCCGAGCGTCAGATGACGTTTGCTCCCCCAGGCTACGAAGTGAACCACAGCTAGGCCGAGCTAGATGTTTAAACCGCCACTCTGTTCTAGCTTAGAGCACGAGTCACCCCTGCCATCGGCCCGACAGCTCGACCGATCCTCCTCCTCCTCCTCCTCCTCGCCATCGTCCTCAGCATCATCATCATCAGCAGCAGCATCATCACCATCACAATCACCATCATCATCATCATCATCATCATCAGCATCATCATCATCATCATCAGCATCATCATCATCATCATCCCCCTCCCCCTCCTCCTCTTCCTCCTCCTCCTCTTCCTCCTCCTCCCCATCTCCTCCTCATCCTCCTCCTCCTCCTCCTCTTCCTCCTCCTCCTACCAGAGTACAGATGCGACAATACATGGGGTATCTCTCGGAATGACCGAGAAGTGAGTCGAGCGGGAGAGGGGAACACGGAATCAAAACAGTAGAATAAGCAGCCCCCCCAGCAACAGTTTGGGTTCTCTGGCCTTTCGTCCCTCCCCCGTCTCCTCCTTTTGAGTTCGTGTCGTCGTCTCCTCCCCCCCCTGGCTTGGGCTCTCTGCTAAGCCCGCGCGCCCCCTCCCCTAGGGCACGCGGAAGGGCCAGCAGCCGCTCCCCCCGCACTGACCCGCAGGGACTCGTGATGTAAGGCAGCGAGTCTTTCTTACGGGGCCACCTCGGAGCTCGGTCGTTGAGCTACGCGGTATGCCCCCTGCCGGCCCTAGCGAGAAGGCAGGGCTGTAGCACAACCAATCGCAGGGGATGTTTGACAGAAGCGCGTAGGTCACCTGAGTAGGTGCTCAGACGTTGCACCCCCTTATACGCGGATGTCCTTGTCCATGTCCTCCTCCTCCTCCTCCTCCTCCTCCTCCTCCTCCTCCTCCTCCTCCTCCTCCTCCCCATCCCCTTCCCCCTCCTCCCCCTCCTCCGCCTCCTCCTCCTCGGAGCGCGGGGCCCGGCCGAGTCCGCGCGGAGCACGGATTCAAGGAAACATGTTTAAATTGGAGGGCGAAGCTTAGTTGTTTCTGGAAGACCAATATCTGGGGCCGATGCCAAATACCGCTCTCTCACATCCCAGCCAAAAACGTCTATGGACACATTGGGTACCGTGACGTCCACCGACGCTTTCGGTGTGGATACGCCGATGGACAGCGTGGCCGTCGCGCTCGGCGCGGTGCAAGGTCGGAGAAAGGGTAGATCCGTCTACGGTCCCGCATGGCAGGGCTGGACCTAAACGCTGTTGTGCTGGACTTCGGCTGTGTTTTGTCTTTTGTTTGGGCAGGGAGGTACAGGAAAACACGTAGAGCAAAACGAAAACGAAACGAACACAAAACGAAAAAACAAAGATTAGGTCCAGCCTTGTGCCGCGTGGTATTCCAGGCATGAACATAAACGGTTGGCGCTCCGCGCGGACTTCTTGGGTCTGCGCTGGAGCGCCCGAGCGGCGCCTCCAGCGCCGCCCCCGGCGAGCTCCGCGCGCCAGGGAGGGGGCTCCAGCGCAGATCCAAGAAATCCGCGCTGACCGCCAAAGGTTGACATGTTTCTGCCATTTGTTGTTCCTCTACGGACGGCGTCGCTCGCAATCCTCGGGGGGGAATCTGGGAGTTTCGGGTGCGATGTCCAGGGTTCTCGGGCGTTGTCGGCGATCCTGGGCGGTCTTCTGGCCTCGGGATGCCTTCCAGCAGCTGCGCCTCGCTGAACTTCGCTCCGGGGGTTGTTTCGATCATTCCGGGCGTCGCAAAACTGCAACGGGCTCTTTTCTACATATTCAGTTTCCGGGGGCCGCTTCCAGGGCCCATGGCCGTCAAAAAAACGATTAATTGACGGAACACTTGGGAAAGGGGTTCAGATTTCTGGGGGGCTTACGTCGCAAGTAAAATTCAACACCAGATGTAACCGCATGCCCCGGATAATACAGCACCCCCACTCCTTACGACCTGATTGTTGATTACTTCCGGCCACTGCAGTTGTGGTGGGCGGTGGGGAACGGCGGGGCCGAAGTGCATTATCACCGGGGAAAGTACGAATCGTAGACTGAATTTGTTTTGTCGCATCATCATCACCAGCATCAGCATGATCATCATCACGATCATTAAATACTACTCGTAGTAATCGTACTCCTACTAGTATCATTACTACTACTACTACTACTACTACTACTACTACTACTACTACTACTACTACGACTACTACTACTACTACTACTACTACTACTGCTGTTGCTGCTGCTACTACTACTACGACTACTACTACTACTACTACTACTACTGCTACTACGACTACTACTACTAATAATAATAATAATGATAATGCTTACGGCGACGACTACTACTACTACTACTACTACTACTACTACTACTACAACTAGTATCACTACTACTACTAATAATGATAAGAATAATATTACAAATGATTACGACTACTACTACTACTACCACTAGTATTGTTACGACTACGATTATTATTACTACTACTACTACGACTACTACTACTACTACTACTACTACTACTACTACTACTACTACTACTACTACAACTACTACTACTACTACTACTACTACTACTACTACTACGACTACGACTCTTACGACTACTGCTGTTACTACTACTACAACTACTACTACGATTCCTCTTACTGCGACGACTACGACTACAGCGACTACTACTACTACTACTACTACTACCACTATTACCACCACCACTACTACTATTAGTACTACTACTACTACTACTACTACTACTACTACTACTACTGCTGCTACTACTACTACTACGACTACTACGACTACTACGCGTACGCCTACTACTACTATTAATACTTCTTCTACTACTACTACTACTACTACTACTACTACTACTACTACTATTTCTACTACTACTACTACTACTACTACTACTACTACTGCTACTACTCCTACTACTACTACTACTACTACTACTGCGACGACTACCACCACTGCGACTACGACTACTACTACGACTATTATCACTTTCACTACTATTACTACTACTACTACTACTACTACGATGACGACCACGACGACGACGTCGACTACTACTACTACTACTACTACTACTATTATTACTACTACTACTACTACTACTACTACTGCTGCCGCTGCTGCTGCTGCTGCTGCTACTACTGCTTATACTACTAATACTACTACCACTACTCTCACTACTACTACTACTACTACTACTACTACTACTACTACTACTACTACTACTACTACTACGTTTACTACTGCTACGACTATTACTACTACTACGACTACTACCACGACTCTTACCACTGCTGCTTCTACTACCACCACCACCACTACTACTACTACTACTACTACTACTACTACTACTACTACTACTACTACTACTACTACTACGAATACTAATACTATTATTACTACCACCACTCCTACTACTATTACTACTACTACTACTACCACTACTACTACTACCACCACTACGACTACGACTAC